GGGCTGTGACAAACTGTTTCGTCGGAGTTTCACCGACTCATCAGGAGGCTGAACCCTCAACAGTCTGTAGAATCCCCTCACTGATTACACTGTAGTAGGATTATATATATATACCTGAATAGAGTCAATACCTCTCTTGGTATTTTGGCCAAGTAAGATCAAGTGGAGGATCTGTTATCGGATCCGTTTAGTATCTGATCTGCGGTCCATCAGACCACATAAAGGAGTATATGCAGGGTTGTTTTGGCGCCTACCGCCTACGCCTACTGTAGGCGGTATCGGGTCGACCCGTAGGCGGACCCGTCGGCGGTCGGCAGACTGCCTAATTTTTTTTTATTTTTTTTTTTCTGATTACATGGTCGTGTGCGGCTGGAGGAGAGCAGCCCAAATCCGCAATAAAGTTTTTGCGGGGTGGGGGGGTTTGTAGGGGGCTGTCTCTTATACACATCTAGATGTGTATAAGAGACAGCTCTCTCTCTCTCTCTCTCTCTCTCTCTCTCTCTCTCTCTCTCTCTCTCACCCCCGCTCCCCCGCATGCAGTAGCTCCTTTCTCGAACACAACGGACCGTCATTTTGACTGCACCTGACATGAACTATAGTTTGTGAGCATTGCTTGTCACGGTTGGTTATGTTCGAGGCAAATTAGTAGGAGTGTTGTTGATTGGTGAGGTCGCGGACATTACGGCAGGCGACTGGTCGGTTTGACGGGGGTTGCACTCGTCTTCCCATTTTTTTGCTGCCCTGCGGTGGTCGTGTGTCTCGTCGTTGATGATGTCGAGGTCCGGGGCAATGCGCACTACGGATGGAGAAGCGTTCTCTCTTCCGTATTTTTTCCACTATCCTCCCTACTTCACGCTCCAACCTGTCCGCGACACTAGGGAGAAACAGATACAGCTGTGGAAGGATCTCATTCTCAATTACTGCAAGCATTACAAGGTCTTCGCGATTGACGTGGAAGGGGACTTCCCCTTGTTCTCCAATTCAGAAATCGAACGGCGGCTGAACACGGAGGCAAAGCGGGTTTTCCTCTCCGCCTTGGTATCGGAAGGGCGGGCGGAGTGGTTAGATAAGGCGCAGAGGCGATGCCTAATCTTTTGGCGTAGGGTCGAGGACTGGGCTGGGTACATTTATTCTTGGGCGGATTCCAACGCCCTGGTGGGGGGGGTGGCTACCATGGAAGAGTTGCGGTCAGGAGACGACGTCAAAGGCACAGATCTAGAGGGTATTGACATCAACATCCTGCGAAAAGCTATGAAGGTACTCGAGCAGCGGGGGAAAGCGGTTCTGTTCAGGGGGACATCGGCAGATGATGAAGGAATCAAGTTCTTGAACTGACGGCGCCTGCCAACTGTGTACTATGGAGTACTGATGATTGGCATATGGAAATTGCAGAAATGCAATTAGTAGGATTATATATCGTCACAAAC